TTGTAGCTTTTGTTGTTGCTCAACACTTGTAAATTGTGTGATTTTTCAGCACAAGTTTAAGTAACAATGCGCCTCAAGTGAACCGTATGCCTCTCTCTCCCGCTCTCTCTCTCTCTCTCTGCCACGCTCTCTCCCTCTTTCTTTAAAACAAAAGAGCGTGTTTATGCGACGTGTAAGCTACTAAAATAGTAAATTACTACAATGCACACTGTTGCGGATGTGGCAGCCAAAGAAGACAACGCAACCAACAACAGCAACAACAGCAACACCAGCAACAACAAAGCATGCACAAGCATGTAGCATACTTACGTGGGCGTCAAGTGCTTGTGAACTTTGTTTTAGCTTTAGCTATGACTTAATAAGCAGCTGCAGTTGAGCGCTTTCCGCAAGCCAAAGTTGGCTCTATAAGCTTCAATAGTAAACACTCGCATGGGAACATTTTAATGTTATAATTTCTATAAAAATCTCTCTCTCTCTTTGACTTCTGTAATGTGTTCTCTCTTTCAATGGACCCAGCAGCGAATTAGTAAACGACCTATCATTCCCGAATGCATTCTACATGCATCCAACTGTAATTCATTACCTAACAAGCGGAACTTTGTCTGCGCGAAAGCTTCAGCTATAGAAAATTTAATAGTAACAAAAGTGCAGTGATATAGATTCGAAACAACACCGTCTACAAAGTGTTGATAACGAATCGATTTCGTAATGATGCTTTTCCCTGCTGGGATCGCATTAAATGGCAAATTCGAAAGAGATCTCCTTTCAAACACTGTTAATGAATTAGCATTGTTCATTAGCATAATTGACGTTCAGCTATGCACTCGCTCCGTAATTGTACCGTAATGCTATTAACCATCCATTTAAATAGTGTTGAAAAAAGAGCAATTGAATTAAAGCTCGAAGCAGCAGCGCAGCGCTCACATTGTTTGCAGCTGAGCAAATGCTATACAAAAGCTTTCAGCTGCGATGCAAAAACAACCGCAGGGCAAACGAAAGAGAAGCAAGAGAGGTGACGGAGAATAGACAAGCCAATGTGTCAATAGACACAGGGAGACAGTGTAAGCGTGAAGAGTGAAGTGGGAGAGGGAGAGCAACAACACACGTTGATAACAGTAAAAAGTCTATGCAACTTTAGATGTCACTTTTTTCACGCTGCATTGACAACTGACACAAGGTAAACACCTAGCGACAACAACTTTAGCTCGACTTGTTGCTGCTGCTGCTGCGCTGTGACTGCTGTTGTCGGCGTCAACGTCAAAGTCAGCGTCTGCGTCGCTGCCTGTCGCTATCTCTGTCTGTGCGCTTGTTTTTGATTTCGTTGGCGTCGCTGTGCGTCGTTAAATTATTATTCTTTAGTGCATGGCATGCTTATTTTTTTTTATCGATATTACTTTATGATGACACAGAGCCAAAGACGCCGCTGCTGGCTGGGCTGATAAGGTGTCGCCGCTGAATAAAAGCTGAAGCAGCGCAAAAAATAATAATATGCAATTCGAGGCGCCTTCAAGGAGTCGAATTGCGCACCGAACTCAAAATGTTATTGATAGTCTGGCAGATTATAAGCACATTTTATTTATTTTGTCAGTCTCCCTCTCTCTCCCTCTCCTCTCTCCACATCGATCACGTTGAGCGGAAGAGAGTCGCGTTAATTATAGCTGATCTCTCTCGCTCTCTCTCTCTCTCGCACACTCGCTCATCTCTATCTATGTGTCATTAACTGTTGTTTTTTTTTTCATCTGTTTCGCTGACACATAAGAAATTCGCATAAGTTGCACATGAGTCAGCAGATCAGAGCGTTTTTGAGCTTTGTTTTGATTTGTGTATTTACCGCTTTGTGAGTGCCGCGATTAGAAAATTAAACATACATATAAAAGAAAGGTAAGCAACGTTGCAACGTTTTAAGTTCGTTATTTATCCTGGGGGAAATATTATTCAAAAGTCATAAAATAGCTTTAATCTGTTCGTATTTATTATCTTTAAGAACCCGATAATCTTAGTGCACTATATAACTGACTTTCTTGCTACTTGTTATCAAAGTTGTAATTAAGTTATGTTGGATAATTGTGTGGTTATCGATAAGGAGATTTATGTGCAGTGCATTTTGAGTAGTGTTGTGTAATTAGTGTAATCTATAAATAGACTAAAGAAAAAAAAAACAAATGTGCTTCTCATAAATTTAACATTGCAGCAAATTGATATGGTTGCGACATCAGCGCAGATAGCATTTGACTCAATTACTTGAGCTGCAAGAGGAATGAGGTGGGTCAGGGAGAGAGAGAGGGAGATAGAGAGAGAGAGAGAGAGAGAGAGAGAGAGAGAGCGAGCTGGCATTAAGGGTGCAGACAGCTGGCAGACGCTGCCTCATAATGCACTTAAGTTTATTTCTTGCAGTCTCGGTTCGCTTTATTTTGGGGGGTGAAATGTGCACGGAAATCGTGGCATAAGGCACACATCACTGCTAAGGGGCAGGGGTACATACGAAACTAACAAACATGCAATTGAGCAATTGTACGGGATAGAGAGTGAGAGAGGGAGAGGGAGACAGAGAGAGAGAGAGAGAGAGAGAGAGAGAAGTAAGGAGCGAGAGTTCACTCTTGCCAAAGGCAGCTGCCACATTTTAGTTGAGCATAATTACAGCAAGCAAAGTGACATTTCTCATGTGTGTGTGTGTGTGAGTGTGTGTGTGAGTGTGTGTGTGAGTGTGTTTACCAATTGCAGAATCCTTTGTACGGATTTCGAGCTGCTCTGCAAAATTGAGCAACGGCAGCGGCAGCAGCAGCGACAGAATTTATGTTTATTTCAATTGCAGTCGAAATCCATCTCAAAGGCAGCTGCACTCGAATTCTAATTCGAGTTCGAGTTGTTTTTGTTTTCGTTCCTCTTGCATTCTGTTCGCGCAGCAGTCTAAATTTCGTTAACGTGACAAAAATACATTGATTACATTTCTTTTTTTACATGGGGGTTAAAACACGTGGATAGACGCGAGTCGCGTGCAACTCACGTTTGCACACTTGGCACATTTGTCTCTCAGACTAAATCGCTCTTTCTCGGCACACAAAATATGCACGTAGAATCCTAGCATCCTGTGTCTGATGCTCTTCTTCCTCTTCCCCTTCTCCTCTTTCCCTCCTCTTCGTTATCTTGTTGTTGCGTTTACGTGCATAGGTCTTTGAACTGACAAATTATATTGCTCGTTGTAAGTTGCCCCCTCTCAACGAAATTCCTTTCACTGTGTGCACTCTGAACTTTCTTTATGTGTGTCTTTTCCTCTCCCACTCCACACACATACACGCATATGTGTTTACATGAGAGTATGTGTGTGTGTGTGTATTTTCTGTACGATTCTGTTCCTTGTAAATAGTTCCACATTCCCGTAACGAAGTCTATTTTCCTTATAACGGCACAATTGCAATACCCTATACTGTTGTAAAGCAGAGGAAGCTATGCTTAAGCTTCTGTTTATTATAACATAAAATGTATGTTAACACAGTAATTATTCATTTATAAATTTATGCAAGGTTGTGAAAACATGCATTACTTTAATAAAAAATTAATAAAAATAAGCAAACATAAAATCTTATAATTCACGCATATTCATTAAAGTGTATATATTTACAGGATATCTGCTAGTCTCTCCCCCTGTAAAGATTTCGCTTGTTTTCGCCTTTAATTTGCTTACGTATGCACACACACACATACACAGCTGCAGAGGTATGTGCGTATATACAATATGTCTCAGCGATTACTTCACCCACATACCGCCTCCTCTCGCATATTGCTTTTTAACTACTTTCGCGCATTCGCCGCAATCTTCGTATTCGTCTTCAGCCGAGAACGCGAGTGTTGCCATTTGGGTTTGCAGTTGGCAATTGTTAAATTAAAATTGGCAAAAATTGGTTTTCATTTGAGCGTGGGTCGCTTTAAGTGTTATTCGCTGCTGTTTTGTAGGTGGGCGACGCTAATAGTAATAATAATTATTACGACTGCTCCAATTGTTTAATTGACTTCGAATTGTTTACATTGAAACGTTTTAGTGGGCCAAATGAAGAGCCAACAGCCACTTAACGTGACGAAAGTCGTCTGTTTATTTTTTATTTACAAACACATATAAGCTTATCTGACTGATTGATCAGCTACCTCAAAGTTGACCATAAACTACAAGCAATCTTATCAGCAATTTTGGTTGCCCTAGAAAGCCACTCCGTTAACTTATCAATAAGCAAATGTGTCGAAACGGAAATGCTTGAGCTATAAACAACTATTCGAGCGTACCTCGCCGCAGCGGCCCGCTCAATTAACGTGTTCGTCAGCTATGCAAATGACACAACGCAAAAATAAGCGCCAAAAATGTCTTGTAATTATGCATTAAAAAGAACACAGCCAGAATAATAACATCAGCAACAACAACAACAACGACATCAGCAGAAGCAACAGCAAAGAAAATCACGGCAGCTGAGAATCAAAATGAATGGAATGCGCGCATGCCCAGAATAAGTTGGTTAGAGGAGCGCAGCAACAACAACATCAGCAGCAGCAGCAGTAAATATGAGATCGCACCTCAGCCTCACACGCACTCACTCACTCACACTCTTTGTTTTGTTCTCTGAGCAATGCTACCGGTTTTTGGTGAGGGAACAGCTGTGCCATACGTCACGACTGCGTGTGATAAGAAACAAGAAGAGAGGAAAAGCAGAAGCCGAACCAGAAACCACCACAAACAACTATGGGGCGAACAATGCACCGCATTATGCGAAACTTGTGTACAATATGATTAAGCAAGCAACAACAACAACAACGGTGACAGAGGGAGACTCGGACTGGGCGCAGCTGCTTGCGCTGATAGCGCGTGTTGTGCTGCTTAGGCTCTCAGGTAAGTCACATCAACACTCTCTCTCTCGCGCTCTCTCTTCGCCACTTACGCTCTTTCTCATGTCGGCGCTGCCTGGCATGGAACGGTGACTGTTCTGACGCTGTCATTCGGTAACGAACTTTCGAACAACGCAGACGCAGACGCATTCGCCGCGATCATCGCCCGGTGTGTTTACTGTTTACCGTTGCGCAGTGCAAAACTATTTACTATATTCTTGTGGGTGTCTCCTCAACCCACCCCCAAAAGACACTTTAAACTGTTGTTTATGTTGCGTGCTTTGTGTTGTGTGTTGTGTGTACCATAATCGGATGACACGTGCCTGAAATACATATTTCCCCATCGACATTCATATAAAATTGGGATTACCTCGGCTTTGTTTGGCGATACCAAAACAACAATAATAACGGTAAGTTTGGCCCTGCCATAATACAGTGAATACAGTGGTCCCTCGGAAATGAGAATGCCTTATTTGTGAACAAATTTTCTAAAAGTTCTAAAAACTCAAGAACTGAATAAGTGTTTTTTAATTAAAATTAAATATAAATGATTCTATAGATAGTTGTCATAGTTCCCACTTGACGATTGACCACTGTACTACCACATACTCATGCCCAAATTCATAGTCTGTGGCCCATTTTGACCCCAATAAGCAAGTGTCTGTGATTACGCACTAAAACAATATTTCGACGGCTTATCAATAAAAAATAAAAATAAAAAATGTAATATTATTTTTCGTGAAACGACGCCCCTCATTAAAGCGACGCTATCATATCGGTAATTACCCGAGGGCGAGCGCACCAAGAGCATTTTTATGCTGAGGACTCAGCAATGACTACCCAACATACCCCCCCCCCCCCTCCCCTTACCAAATCAAAACAAACCCCTCTCTCAGAAGCTCCAAGCGCCGTTTATGACTCAGGGATTTTTAGCGTCTTTGTTTGCGCATTTATATCTTAATGTTCTCCCTCTCTCTCTTGCTCTGTGGGTGTATATCGAGTCGCACATTGTAGATCCCATGAGTCAGCGTCCGAGATCTGAGAAAAAAGCACCGCTACAGGGACAACCATCTCTCCCTCCCCCTGCCAGCACCAATTAATCAGCCAATGAGTGATCAGAAGCTGGAGAGCAAAAAAAAAAACCAACCAAAAAGTTAACTAAGCCAAAGCAAAGCTCGTTTTTTTTAAACGAGGAAGCTCGAATCGATTAAAAGTATAATTGAATTTAATATATGGAATGGCTGACAACTAAATTAAATTAAAAATTATAAGTCTAACTGAGATGTGTCGCAATTATTTAAAACAGTTTTTAAGCAGTCTTTCTTCAAAAGTAAACCGCTTTTCATAAGCAAAGATTTCTTAATTAAATTCACGTATAAATTCGACTGTTAGATATACAAAAGATAAGAACTAATTTACGAATTTAATTATTTTTATCTCGAATTGGTTTCTTTAGAGTGCACCCTCGCATAAGCTAACCCATTCAAAAGTAATTGCCATTAATCAATTTGTCAGACCAGAATAATTATTACCGTATTAGAAAATTATTAACAATTTTGCAGTTAATTTTGTACATGAATTGCAACTTTTTCTGAATTGAATTTGTCATTGGTTTAATTATATAACACGACAGATAAAATGTTCTTTCCTTATGGCCAACAACTGTTGATTTAATGCTGCCACAAATGGGATTGATTGCGCTGCTAAAGAGCAGCCAATTGAGATTGTAGATTGAGATATACTTATAGGAGAAGTGGTAATACTAACTGGCATTATTTGACTTGATTACAAGGCGGCAGCGGTGGCAAGTGGAGCATGCAACAACACGCGCAGGCGGTCAGCCGAAGGAGGGGGGGTGGAGAGCTATTCGTTGAAACCAGTTGCAAGTCAGAAGTCACTCACCTGTCGGGGGGGCCACACACACACTCACCATTGGCCAAGATTCGAGAAATGAGATGGTATCAATGGCAATGGTGTCGAGAACATTAGCTACCGTTAGGTCGGCGGCACAGCAAAAGCGAATACCGATCCGATTGCCAATTTACGATTGTGTAATTATGTTGCATTGATTTTCCATTGAAAATGTCAACATCAAAAGGGGAGCTTTGAGTTTTAACAATGGCTTGGCCTTAACATTTGGCCGAGTGCTCTTAACTAATTGCAACAGTGGTTGCCAATTGTAATGTGAGCCATGTCTGTTTGCCTCCAGTGTTGAGTAACGCCAAGTGTTTTCGATTTGGCAACAATGAATTTCTTTTTTACGGCCATTTGTCAATTGTTTTCTTGTTGTTTTTTTTCCTACAATTGTGTTCTTAATTCAATTTCGATATTGTGGAAACTTATTTTGGGTTCTTTGACTTATTCATCGTTTAACTTTGATTTAATCGATTTCATCAGCCTGGAAATTCCATTTGGATTAAGTCTAGAAATTTAAATAGTCCATATATATTACATAAGCAACGCTATTTGCAAATTGTGATTACTTATTGAACAAATGAAGTTATTTCTGCGCGTGATTTACAGTGCCCGCCCCCTGGCCACAATTTCCATTTAACATAATTGCGCAATTATTGGAGAAGTGATTTATTATTTAATTGTTTGTCACTGAAATGCTAACAATTAATTATGCAATATGCAGAATAAAAAGTAAATAAATTCATTCACAGCATTAAAACAAAAATCGTTTCCATTGCAGCGCATTAAATAAATAAATAGGGTTATTATCAGTGCAACAGCTGCCAATATGTACAAATGCATGTTGCACTCTTAATCATAATTATGATAATAATAATAATAATTATAATGATAATCAAAATTAATTGGGAGCAATAAGAGCGGTTTAAGCAAATGTCAAAAATGCTTAACACAGCGCTTATGATTTATTCCTCGTATTTTGCACTCTTACAATTTAATTCATTTTTATGTTGTGCATTCCTTTTTTAAATTATTTTTATTTTAAATATCGAACGTATTTAATTGCTGTTGATGATACATAATTAAAGTGCTGATCAATTAAGGAAATCCGCGCAAACTACCACAAAGCCACAATCCCGAGTGCCTTGATTTATCATTCAATTAATAAATATGCGAAATTAAATCAATAGCAAAATTATCAAAATGATTTTTAAGTCGACGTATTACTGACGATATTCGCATAAGAGATTAATTACTGGTAACTATTGATAAAATGTATTTTAATCACTTTCAGCCTGGCGAATTGATTATACTTGATTTATATGTTTAATAGTTTAATTTCTTTTGTAGTAAATGGTTCCTAAATTGGGAAGTTGATTATTCTTGAGATTTAATCAATTCAAAAGGTAAAATTTATTTTAAAACATAAGCAAATATACATAAAACATAACATAATTGTGGAATTAATCATTCGTAATCATTATTTAAGATACTTTTTTCAGAAATTTACTGAATATTTTATTTTTCATTGAAAATTGCTACAAATTTTTTTAACATTGAAAATATGCACAAAGCACACATAAAAAAAATGGATATCAAACCGTCGCGAAAATATTTAATAAATGCTTCGCAGCTTAACAGATTTATTGTGAATAATTTGAGCTTATTTATTACATTAAAATTATTCGCTTAACGGTAAATGCGCGTTCCGTCAGTCAAAGAGCCAGAAATAATTGGGAGGGTGTAATTTCATTTTGTTTTGAATAAAAGTTGAGCAAGAGCGAAATAACTTTAAATATGAATAATTCGTGTATTTAAAAACAATTAACTAGAGAGAGAATGTCTGAAATCGCCTTTGTTATCAGCTTAAAAAATAAAATTAAGTTTTGGTCAAAGGCCTCAATTGTTTTCTTATTTTTTTTTTGGATTTGATTCTGGTATTGTGTTTGACTTATAGGAAAAGTGCCGTTAACTGTCGCCGTTTCTGCTGCGACTCGTGTTGCATAAATGATGAGCTATTTCTTAAATTTAAATACCCTGTTCAGGTGAATAAACAAGGCATATACATGCCTTGAGAGAAGCTGAAAATTCCGATTTTTTATTCTGTGGAATAACGATCAGAGTTAATGATGAATATATCATTTCGAAATATGACTTATTTCATAATTGTTAAGGATAAACCTCAAGTTAGAAATAACTCAGTTTTTATAATATTTTTAAGCTTATATTTTTTATTGATTAAAAACATACATTTTTAAATAATGAAATAATAAGAATGAAAATACAAAAAAAATAATCTCAAACCTAAAAAGTAACCAGTGATAAAGCAACAATCTAGCATTAAACAGAAGTGCTTAATATTTTGCAGGGTATCTATAATCTATACACTCATCGATATAGCACAATTAATTGGGTTCAGTCCATCACAAACATAGATATGCCGAGAATATTGCTTTCTTTACGTGGGATATGTTTACCATAATAAGATTATAATGAAGATGTTGATAGCCTGATGAAACCAGTTTTCCACAAACGTGGCGATTATACAATCTAAACAACTCTATTAGTAAATGTTTATTAACAATTCGCAATTTGCATATGAATTTGATTTGCTGGAACTTTTGCTTATCGATCTGTTAATTAAACAAAAAGACACCACAAACAATCCGTATTTAATTACACTCCAAATAACAGCTCCTATTTCTTGAGAACCCTCCCCATCCCATTCTCTCCCCCCCCCCTCCCTCCCCCTCTCGCTCTATCAATATCTTTCTCTGTGGCAAATTCGACAGCTCAGCGAATTGGAATGTGTATAAATTTATACGCTATTAAACACTGGTTGTGGCTCAACTCAATTGTTAATACAAAAACGTGTTTAGGGGTGGTCATTGTTGTTGTTGTTGTTGTTATTTTTATTTTTATTGGCTGCTGGACATTTGTAATGAGCATTTCCTTATACACAACTGAGTCGTGTTTATTTTTCTTCTCCGTTGCTATTGTATTTTTAATGAGCTTCTATTAGTATTATTCATCACTGGCCTTAAATATCGATTCGGCTTGTTGCTATTTTCAGTCTCTCTTCATTTTTTCAATTGAAAATTACAGAAAATTGCCGCCACTGCTGCTACTGTTGCTGTTGCTGTTGCTGCTAATGAGCCGCATTAAATTGTTGGCTGTAAATTAACACCACAAAATGCAAATATACCAAGGGGAGTGGGAGCCGGTCGTTGGTTAGTCGGCTTCAGGGCACACTTTGTGGCCGGGCCAATCTAATTAGTTGAGCCACCAGCCACTGCGGCCGTCAACAAAATGCGTTAATCCCCAGTTGTATATATTTACTTTAATTAGATTTTCGAGCATTAAAAAATAAAAAAAAATAACGTTCGCTTCAAATTATGTGTATCGATAGCGCAGTTGATCGTTTTTTCCGCATGCGACAGCTAGAGGGCGCCAGCAGTTGCTCGTGTGGTAGTAGTACAGCACTGTTTGTCAGCCAGCGTCGTTTTGCAGCACTTCAAAATGCTATAATATACCTGTTGACTCATTCTTGCACGCAGCAGCATATGCTAGCTGCACTGCTCTAACGCATAGGCCACTCCGTCGAGGGTCGGCTGCTCGTTTCAGCGCACCTTCATTCGACCAAGTTGACTCACTCTGCGCGTATGACTTGGCCAGCTGTGCTGCGCTTCCACGCACAAAAAAAAAATAAAAACCGAAAAAGATTTCACTTTGCTTCAAATAGAAAACTTAAATCGAGTGAGACAGTTAAAGCGAACGAAATTGTTGCTGGATTGTACGCGACAGGAAAAGAGGCGTGGGGTGTAGTCGTTGTCATCATGCGGCTGCCGCAGTTGCTGCTACGGGAAACATAAAAGAAATTTGACTGCTGGTTGCCGCTGCTGCGCCGACGACGTCATCACTCACAAATACAGACGCACAAACACACAATCACACAGACACTCATTGAGATTGTTGTTGCTGGATTTGTAAATTATGAAAGCAATTTATCAACTGGAAATCAAACAGGAACGGCAAACCACAAAGTTCCAGCCAGAACAAATTAAATGCTCATTGATCGTGTCTGTATCGCCAACAACAAGTAACGTTACAGCAGCGGTTTGTGTGGAGGAAGAGGAAAAACGCACAGCTGAAAAAAGAAAAATACAAAGAGAAGGCAAATTGAAGAGTTCGCAGCACTGGAGTGTTGGACAGAGATAGTAATAACAACGACTTGTTGCTTACACACACACACACACGCATTATAGACACTGTGTTATACGTTTGTTTGTGTGCGTGTGACCTTTGTCGGCTTCGTTTCTCCCCTCGAGCATTTTGTTGTGTGTAAGTACGCTAATAAATTTATTCAAACAGCTAAAAGGCAATGCGTTTAATTGCAAGCTCATAAATGTGTACAAACATCTTCAATGGCAGCAGCAGCAGCAGCAGTAGCAGCATTCACAACAACTAAAGCACAAATCAATTACAAAGTGTCTAGTCCAAAACTAGTCTGTTAAACTGGCCTGTTACGTCGTTTGCACTGTTAACTTTGCTCTGTTAACGATTACTTAACACTTTTCGATTATGATTTCAAATTAATTACGCCTTTGCTGACGCGATTGCTCTTCGACATTTCTGATAAGATAAAATGCCAACGGCTATTTGAGCAAAACCGCCCACAGTTTTTAATTTGCTTGACTAAATATACACTGTATGTAAATATATATATATATATATATAACATATATATGACATTCTGCAAAACATAATTTAAATGAAAAAATTTCCGTTGTCTTTCTTAAGTTGTGGGCAAATACATAAAAAGTGTGTTTATTTATATATTATTTCACTGTTATACACAATTCCGCATCCGTTGTGTGACGAAATTGAATAAATATATACACAGTTTCAATTATGTATTGATTTTAAAATCAAATGCAGACAACTGCTTAAATATGTGTGCGTATTCACATTCTTCAACTTTTTTTTAAGTTAATTTTTGTATATCTTATTTGGCGTTTGTAAATTAAATTCCACGACACAAAAATTTCACTACGTTAGCCGTTAACAGCAAAATAGTTACCAGTTAACAGTCGCTGTTATATGCATTTACTTGTGTGAGTCTGCGATAAAATTGTTTGGCATTGTTGTTTTGGTTATTGCTATTGTTGTTGTTGTTTCTCATTGAGTAAACAATGATAAGCAACGTACTTGGTATTGGATGGTGCATTGTGTGCTCGAGTGGAGGATGGGTAAGAATAATAAGAAATCGAGATCGAAAAAGAGCAGAAAGCTAAACAATTCAATCAAAATTGCAATGCAGCTTTGTGCTTTCAACTAAATTGATGCACTTTTTTATTTATTTCCTACACAGGGCACGTAGTGCGCTATGACAAACAAGCCAGCACAGTAATCGAATCAATAAAATCCTGATAAATAAATCGAAAAGTTGAATCGTATTTCACATTTTTTAATAATCAATTTTAACAGATTAAACTGCACATTCAATTTAAAGAATTTGACAATCAAATAATTAAATCAGTTTAAAAACTTTCGAAAATCAATTGTAAAATAATTCTTAAACAGCAGATAAAATTGAATGTAATTGATAACGGAATAACTGAATCATATAATAAACAATATTTAAATTATAAATTGTCACCGGTAACAGAAGATTCAATTAAAACTATTTGATAACTAAACAAATAAATTAGATTAGGAAATTGTTAACAATTTAAAGTACTTGATAATGAAATAATAAAATCAGCATAAATAAAACTGAGAGTTGAATATTAAATTATAAACAATAATCGGAAATAAACATTAGCAGATTAGACTTAGAGTAGTTCGCAATTTTTAAATATTTATATATTTGTCTAAATTTAAAAATCAATACAAAATGCGCAGAATATTTAAATATGCGATTATCAACAATAATTTTGCTTGTGTCACCTTTATTTGTACACCATAACGAGTGTGCAGTGTACCTTGAGTATTTTTTTATTGTGCAAATTGCAAACGTGACGATTTATTTTTTTGAAAAGCCCACACTCCACGCTTAATCATCCGCAAATACATGAACACATATGTATATATATATATACACATAAAATATATATAAAATGAGCTGCAGTTGAGAAGGCATTGCTTTTTACTGTTTGAGAGCGACTGCCTGGGGGCGGTTTGTAGTTAGTATTTTGTCTAATTGCATCTACTTTTTAGCCAAAACAACTGCAGCAACAGCGACAAGATGGAGACACACGTTGAGCTGCAGATGCTGCCCGTGGGCAGCAGTCGATTGAGCAGCATCAGCAGCGTCAGCAGCAAGGAACTGGAATTGGACCAAAACCAACACCAGCAACGACTACTACAGCAACAATCGCCCAGCAACAGCAGCAGCAGCAACAACAATAATAATAACAATAACAATAATTGCATAACCCCATCACGTTTGCCCCCATCCAGTTCGGGGAATTCAATTCATGAGGTTGTAGCAACGACGACGGCTGGAACGTCAAAGCAGCTCTTTCAATCAGCCGCTGCAGCACATGGTGGCGTCGACTCGTGGGCATTTGTGGAGCATGAGCAGAATTATATAGCCATGTCACAGTTGCCCCCGCCACATCCAACTGTGGATGCAACCGTGTCGAGGAATCCCTCAACGGCTGGCGGTCGGCACGAGAAGAAGATCGGTCATCGTCGGGTCGCCGAAGGTGGCGAAGTCACGTACAAGAAGATCAAATCCAAACAGATTATGGGCTCCATACAGTTGGGCATCCAACATACCGTTGGCGGTCTGGCCAATAAGCCCAAACGGGATCTGCTGATGAATGATTTCTGGGAGATGGAAACGATTGCCTTTCCGCCCGAAGGTTCCTCGCTGACGCCAGCGCATCATTATAGTGAATTTCGATTCAAGGCGTATGCCCCGATTGCGTTTCGATACTTTCGCGATCTATTCGATATCGAACCGGATGACTTTCTAATGTCGATGTGTGCATCCCCGATGCTGGAACTCTCGAATCCGGGCGCCTCTGGCTCCATATTTTATTTGACCGACGACGATGAGTTCATCATCAAAACGCTGCAAAAGAAAGAGTGCGAGTTTCTGCAGAAGCTGCTGCCCGGCTACTATATGAATCTCTCGCAGAATCCGCGAACGTTGCTGCCCAAATTCTTTGGTCTCTATTGCTTCCACTTCAACTCGAAGAATGTGCGGCTGGTGGCGATGAATAATCTCCTGCCCTCCGACATTAAGATGCATGCCAAATACGATCTGAAGGGGTCCACGTTTAGGCGCAAAGCATCGAAGGCGGAACGCCAAAAGGCCAGTCCCACATTCAAGGATCTCGACTTTGCCGAGCACCATCCGAATGGCATTTTTCTCGAGGCGGACACATATACGGCGCTGATGAACACAATCAAGCGCGATTGCATGGTGCTTGAGAGTTTCCAGATCATGGATTACTCTCTGCTGGTTGGTATACACAATCTGGATATTGCGGCCAAGGAGAAGCGGGAGGAGCGTATACGGAATGCGCGTGCCAAACGGGAGCGCCGGGAGGGAGGTGCCCATCAGCCAGCCGGGCCAGGTGGAGTTGCTCCGCTCGCGACGGATGATGATGCACCCGAATCGGATCAGTTCAATCAATTGCAATCGGTTGCCTCATTTGCCTCGATACCGGGCACCTCGGCGGCCGGATTAAATCGCACACGCAGCATGAATCGTCAGCGTCTCGTGGCTCATTCCACGGCCATGGAGTCGATCACAGCGGATTTGGATGCCACGCTGGAGGAGGTAGGGGATGAGCCGATGGGCGGCATACCCGCCCGCTCCGAGAACGATGAACGGCTGATGCTCTACATTGGCATCATTGACATTCTGCAGTCGTATCGCCTGGAGAAGAAGCTGGAGCACACATTCAAGAGTCTTCTGTACAATGGGGACACGGTGTCCGTTTGCCGGCCATCGTTCTATGCGAAACGCTTCCAGGATGCCATGGGCAAGCAGGTGTTCAAGAAGACGCCCACATTTCCGCTCAAACATTCCCCCTCCAAGCGCAAGACGCCCTCCTCCGCCGGCAGCGGCGGTCGCATCGTTCGTACCTCCAACAACACGGGAGTCGCTGCTGCTGTTGCTGTTGCTGCTGCTGCTGCAGCGGTCGTTGGCGAACCTGGCAGTGCACCGCGTGCACCCGAAACGCTTTCCATACCGTCAACGCCGCCACCCGAATATTATACGACAGCGGATGCGTCGACAACAACGCTGCAGCAGGACACGAGCCCAACCACAACAAAAATATATTCGGCTGTGCGCTTGAGCGGCGATGACGACACACATGCCAAGGCCAGTGCTGCCATGGGAAATGAGAATGGAAATGAAAATGAAAATGGCATAAGTTCAGAAGAGCACACAAACAATGAGTCGCCAGAGCAGCGGGAGCAGCAGCAGCAGCAGCAGCAGCAGCATTGGATCGAGCCCAGTGTGCAGGTGGTGCAGGTGACCAGTGCAAACCATATGGATGAGAAGTCAACGCCACCAAGCACACCTCCTCCCACACCCACGACAACGCCCTCGCCCATCCAGGTGGACGCGGCGGCCAACGGGAAGCCGACATCAGGAGCGTTCATCACCAAAACGGGCCACATTCAGACGCCCAGTTTTACAACGACACTGGTGCTGCAAGCGGCGCCTGAGTAGCTGTAAACTATATATACATATATATATATGTATATATATATGTATATGTATATGTATATGTATATGTATATATATATATATGTTTACATGTGGAACTCTCCACTGTTTGGTGCTGGCTTTTACTCCCCACACACACTCTCCCACACACACACACACACACACACACACACACACACACCCCCTCTGCTTTGTGTGTGTGTATTTTTCTGGCGCTGCGCTCGTTTATCTTGATTAAACAAATACCAAAAACGAATATGTGTATTCGATATTAAAATTTATGTGGCGCGTTTGTTAATTGACTGTTATCCCTCTTCGCCTCCAAGCACACACAACCACCCATCCCCACTCCCTCCACACACACACACACACAACACACACACAGGCTGTTAGCACGCAACATGTTTAAGGATTTAAGGCGAAAAATGAGAGCCGTTTTCGACACATTTTTTTGAATTTCTTCTCATTTCCTTTTCTTTTTTTGTTTTGTTTTTGGCTGTTTAAATTCATAATTACTTTCGCTTTTCTTTTAATCTATTCATGTGTGTGTGTGTGTGTGTTGCCTGTTTAACTGGAGTTATTCTTTATCAAATTGAGAATTATTCTTTCTGATATTATGATTATTGAAAATGTATTACGATTATCGAGGAACCCTTAGAAAATGCCCTCTTTTTCTTTGCTTATTTGTGCGCAAGTTTTTGACACTGTTTATCCATGTATTTGTATTATAAAATGCGTTTATCTCTATTCTAGGATGCTACTTATTGTATATACGTATAACAAGAACAATAAATCGATTATTAACATTATAATAATAACAACTGAATTTAAATGAGGCTTAAAATAAGCATTTTTGGTTCATTGAAGTTAACTTCAAAGCCATATTTTATATATATGTATATAAGCTCAAAATAATACGTTTTGTCTTGTTATCAATTAGTTATCAGGGCGTACTGGAATAATGTACAGAAATGACGAGCGTAATCCTTGCAAGTAGCAGGACAATAACACGCGAGGGATATTTAAATTTGTCCTTTTTCATACCCTGTACTCATTAAAGTGGGTAGAAATGGTATAATGGTTTTGTGCAAAAGTATGCAACACAAAACTTCTCGAAGTCCGTAAGGTGCATATATATTCTTGATCAGCATCAAAAGCAGAGTCCATGCAGAATGTATAAAAAATAATTTGGAGTATAAGTTCGCATATCAAGTCGATTTATTTGCAATAACTCCATACGTATGGCGCATATCGATACATATCGATTTCCGATAGCAATAAAAGCCGATTTAATTATTAAAAAATAAGAAATTAAAGCACTTCCACATCTACCTACAACGGAGTGTAGAAAAGATTATAAAGCGAAATTTGGAAATAAGAAATATATATACAAAATGTAAATATATTAAGCTAATTTCTGGGTATTTCAAAGTTGAGCTTGTTCGACTACATCTCGCTTACTTGATTTTAATTGTAAATGCATTGTGGACGTCAAAACCTTTTTATGAATTTCATTCTTTTAGGCTTTTTGCCCTGCGAAGTGCTTTATAAGCGCTGACATATATTAATCGCCGGGAATGCATATTTTCGCTACTTACCCATTTGTATTAAGCCCTCTCCATCTCTCTCTCTCTCTGTCTCTCTTTCTTTCTTTTCTCACTGTTGCTGTTGCTCGGTGTGTCCCGCTATAAATCACTTAACGATTTTCCATATTGGTATTAAGTACCGTTAATTTTTATCGCCTTGCAGCAGCCATATTTATTGTGCATGTTGAAGCAGAGCGCACTTAAACAAAGCTCCCTTCCCATATTTTCACGCCCCTCTTCCAGCTCCTCTCCATTTTGCCCCTCTTCCGCTGGGCGTGTAAAGCTCTTCATTAATTAGCCGAGGCCATCGTTTTTTATGCCTGGTCGTTAAGCGGGAAAACTTTGCATGGCTTTTACATCTTTTAAGCGCTGCATCAAATAAAAAAAAAAAAGTGAAAAGCAACCAAATTTATTTTTAGACAACAACATTTTGAAAATCGCATCAAATTTAATGCCTGCCAATAAACACTATGAATCAGTAAAATTTAATAAATCGAATAAACATCGAAGCTATGAGCAATGAGTACACGCTGCGAAAGCAATAATTATTAAAACGAATATTTGTTAAAAGTAAAGCAACCAGAAAGTTATTTCCAGCTGTTCAGCTTGTTTGGGAAACTGGCATATTTATTTTTGCATACTCCACGCAAAATTTTGCTTTTCAGTTCACAAAATGTAAAAGCGTAAAAGCTAAAAGGGATTCGTATGAATCCGTTGCAAAGATGAATGAATGCTTAACAATCTGCCTCAGGGAAAATATTAATATTAACATTTCATTATTCGCTATTAGAGGGTATTCAAGTGTGCAATGCATTGAAAAGACGTATCCACGCCCAAGAGGTATATATATATTCCGGATCAGCTTCCCAGATCGAGTCGAGTCTGTCCACATTTCTTAAACATATTCCTCTTCAAATTTGAGACTTATGCGCATTACATAGTATCGAGTGGAGCGGATCAGACTACTATATCATATAGCTGTCATATATAAAATTAGTAGAAATCAAGAGTTTTAAGTTACTAAAATTTAGATGTCAGATTAACTCCAGTTTACGCCTATTTTTTAGGCGTATTTAAGATAATCGTTATTTGTTGTTTTCTTTTACATTTTTATTGATATCCTCTTATTTTTGCAACTGTTTGCTGAAAAATATCAAATTTTTATTTACGATTTATTTACGAATGCATTGATGCATATTTGTAAGGATATTTATAGCATTGTGCGCTCAGATTTTGTGTGGTCATTGTTTTTATGCACTTGCTGTAAAATACACTCGGTAAATATTTGTGCAATTGTCAAACCATAACCAAAAATGTTGCATACTTTTTGGCAAAACAACAATTATATTTACTAGCAAAGTTTGTGGACATTTCGGTGGGTTTTAGTTGCAACATTGTAATTATGCCACAAGCAAAGCAGAAAAACATAAATAAATATGCTGTTACAAGTGGAAGCCGCAGAATAATGCAAACCCATATAAATATTTCCATATATATATATATATATATTTGGGTTGATACAATTTGCTATGCGTAAACCCCAAAAAAAGGCATTAAGCAACAAAAATTGCAAAACACAAAATGTGGGGCATAATTACTTTATTTCATTTGCATAATATAGCGTAAATGCTTTTGGCCAACATTTGCATTTACAAAGTCCTCTATCCAAAGCACCCCTCCCCACATCTCTTTTCCCCTCCCTCTCTGAACTGCTGGCGAACAGACAGCTGCGCAGATTTCAATGGCCAGGCCAGCAAAGAGTCATTTAGGCTGTGAAATCTGCATAAATACCTGACCACAATTTGGCATCACATCAATTACTTTGAAATTATAACGCAATTATATATGTACTGGACTAGAGTGGAAAGGACGAACGACAATAGCAACAGAAATATAACTTCTTGCCACACCAGGCAGCAGACTCTCTCTCTCTCTCTCTTTCTCTCTCTCTCTCTCTCTGTCTCTATTTTGCTGTGGTCCTTTGCTCTAATTATGTCTGCCATATGTCAAATGCCATTTTGATAACACAAACTTTGCATTAAGCCTGCCTCTGAAGACCATTCCCAAGACTCCAATCGAAACCTTAACCAAATGTCCTGCTTAGAGTTGGCCACGTGATGAACACGATCACGAGCACGAACACGAACCGGATTTTAGTGTAATTTCCCAATTAAACAAATAAATTCCATATAATGTTAAGCATGCCAATTGTTATCAAATATTCTGTTCATTCTTAAATGTTTCTTTTCATTATTTAACTTTAGCTATTCTTGCTCTTAACTCGATTAGGAAATGTCTTCTATTCTCATATTAATGTTTGGGACGTAGCTCAATGATATAAGTAAACTAATTATATTTTAATAATGCCAAATTTATTTCACTTTAGTTGTTGTTAGGAATTTTGCTGAAGCACGCTTCACGCGCCCATCTCGAAAGATATATGGTAATGTTTCTTGTGTCTGTTGCTTGTGCGCTTGTCTTGCAAACTTGTCTTAAATTTGTTAAATGACATCTCGTCCAGGTCAGTTCGTTGAGCAAACACACAAGCACAAGCACAACACACACAAACACATACACACACACACACACCCACATACACAAAGGACCTCAGAGGCCAACACAATTTAACAAAATAGATGAGGCCCACAGCTCTGAGATCAGACGTGGTATATTGATTAAAATAATGATTTGTGTCGCTGGGCGGAAATTTAATTTTTTCTGTAACGGATATTAATATGTATAAATAAATGTATGTGTGCGTTGCAGACCTGGTTCGTCGATTCATTCAGCATGTGTGTGCCTGTGTATAATATAAAACTTATTCTGTTAGCCATGGTAGTTGTTGACATTGGTTCAATGCGAATGGCGGCTTGGGGGCGTGTTGAATATTAATTCAGCAGCCGTCAATTGCATTAAATTTAATGAATTTAAAGTAGTTAAGTAAATGAGGCAATTTATTAAATAATTGATAGACATGATTTGCATTTAATTAAGTTCTCGTCTCTCTCTCGTCTCTCTCTCTCTCTCTCTCTCTCTCTCTCAATATGATATCTGTTTGCTTCTTGGGGCAGGCGGAATGTCCTTTCAACGCAGCTACAGCAAGGTCTGGTGGGGCTCCGATAGCCAACAGTTGGGCAGCAGCTTCACAAGCGGCGGCTTCTACTCGCATTACAATAATATCTTCCAGCAGCAACCACAGCAGCATCAGCATCAGCATCAACATCAACCACAGCAGCCCGCATCGCTGGACAGCGCTTTGCAGCGGCATCTGGGCCATTCGGGCAATTTGTCCAGCATACAGGAGGTGGACGATGAGCAGAACAGCTCCAAGCTGTCCTGGCATAAGCACGACAGTCCCGGCAGCCTGCGCAGTCAGGTGTGTTATCTTATTTTACCAAATATTTCAGTAGACATCACAAAATAGATATATATATTTATGTATATATATATATGTACATATATATTTATTGTCAGCGTATTCCCATTTCCACTTTACAAAACGTTTACTGAATGTTTACTGAAATGGTTTTGGGTTTGGAATTTTATCTCATTTCTTCTTAAGTCAACTCAATTTTGGTTTTACTTTAAAGTTTCTGTTGAAGGTGAATTCAATATACACTGTAGCTTTATTTATTATAGCTGCATTGCCAATATTCAGCCTATTTATAGCTGTTAGCCTGGTATATATTCTTATGTTTTACACCAAATTTTTTGAAGCATGTTCTTCATTGCTATGAAAAACATTACTTACTTAATTTAAAAAAATACAAAGAATTGTAGATTCTTTCTGTAATTAATTATACATTTTTCTAAAACAAAAAATATAAAAACAAGTAAAAAAAACAAATATATAAATTTGTATTTCACTTTGCTTTAGTTATTTATTGGATTTATTTTATTGTGCTTATTTTAGGCATTTAAATAAAAATAATCACTCCATTTAAATACTTAGCCTCAGGACCTATTTTATTTATTTATATAAAAATTCAAAGAATTATAAAAATTAAAGAAATCGATTTAAGTATATTTTACAAAATAGTTGTTTCAATTAGTAATTGAGTAATCATCTCTTAAAATGTGCTTAAATCCGCATTTAAACAGCCAAGTTAAAAGGTGATTAAGTTTATTCCCAGAAGTGTATATATTTTCTGAAATTAATTCTTAAGCAATATAAGCAATCCATAATAGTTTAATAAGTAATTATTTTCGTGTCTTAGCTGTTTGAAAATCAAAAGCATTTAAATAGCCAAGTGGAACGTGGTCAACTAAATTGAAAAGATTCAATTTCGCTTACTTGTTAGCCAGTTTAGCTATTTAATTTATAATTGTTGATTGATTTAATATACAATTTTATAAACAAGTTTTGCATATTGAACTAAACGCAATTGATATTTATGCTTAACTTTTTATTAAATATATCGTGACTGAAAACACTTTCACATTGTTCCTTTCAAACTTTCCATGTACTAATATCTGATATTTTGTATCTCTTGTTTAATTTGTTTTTTTTGGAATTCGGGATTCAGGATTCGGGCTTCTCGGACAACGAGGACCAGCATCAACAGCAGCAGCAGCAGCAGCAGCAGCATCAACAGCAGCAGCAGCAGCAGCAGCAGCAGCACAATAGCCCAACAGCAACCGCTGTGATTGCCACGCCTAGCGGCTCGCCCACATCGTTACAATCGGTTGCAACACCGCCCACTGTCATCCGTCGCGTGGGCAAATCGCGCTTTTACTCGCCGCTGGTCAGCGTCACACGTCGCATATCCTTTAGTGGCATGCAACAGCAGCCTGATGTGGAGCATGAGCCTCACGATAGCGTTGCTGATGATGACAATGGCGAGTTGGATGCCAGTCGCAGTCGCCTCTTTGAGCAAATCGATAGCCTGCAGCTCGATGACGATAAGGATATGATTGAACAGAGTCCTGCAACACCACCGCGACCCGCTGTGCGGCGTCGCAAGCGTTTAGCGCGCCTCAAAACAGCCAAACTGGAACAAGAAGAGCTGCTGGTAAGCGATGTTGAGACGCCACCGCCACCCTACAACAATGAAACCGTTTATCTGGGCGAGGCGCCGCCACCCTACAACAATGAAACGGTTACCTTCGGCGGGCAGGAACTGGAGCCGGAGCAGGAACAGGAGCAGGAGCAGGATCACGAGGATACACTCAAATTTGAGGCACTCTCCCCGCTGCGAAGTCGCTTTACGGCCAGCACAAGTACACCCAAAGCAAAACCAAAGTCAAAATCACAGAAGGAGCAGCAACTGGAGCCAGAACAGGAACAGCAGCAAGCCACACAATCCTGGCTCGCGGAGCAGCGCTGGAACTGCGAGCCTGAGGTGATGTGCATGCTGCAGCACAAATCGATTGCCCAGGAGGCATACAAGAACTTCACCATCACCACGAGCGCCGTAGCGAAACTGATGCGTCAGCTCCAACAGCAGGCGCTCCAACTCCAGGCCCATTTCGAGCGCTGCGAGCGAGTGCTCAGCGGACTGGTGGCCACCACGTTGCCCGATGCGCTGGTGGGCGCCACACAACTATTATCGCATCTAGACGAATTCACCTGTGTGCTGGAGCGTCGCGGTGTCTTCTTCAATGATGCACGCGTGGAACGGCGACGATACGAACAGCATCTGGAGCAGATACGCACGGTGAGCAAGGATACGCGTTACTCGCTGGAGCGACAGCATTATATCAATCTCGAATCGCTGCTGGACGATGTGTGTCTGCTCAAGCGACATACTCTAATCACAATACGTCTGATCTTCGAGCGACTCGCACGCATTCTGGTGCTGAGCATCGAGCAGAGCAGATGTGATTTGTTGTTGCGTGCAAATATCAACATGGTGGCAACCCTAATGAATATCGATTATGATGGCTTCGCCTCCCTCTCCGATGCCTTTGTGCAGAACGAGGCGGTGCGTGCTCTGCTCCTCATCGTCTTGGATCACAAGTTGAGCTCGGTGCGTGCTCTCGCCTTGCGTGCCCTGGCCACACTCTGCTGTGCCCCCCAAGCCATCGCCCAGCTGGGCAACTGTGGCGGCATTGACATCGTACGCGATATACTGCAGACCACAGGTGGCGGCCACGAGCGTGGCGCCATTGAGCGACGTGAGGCGGTCTCACTGCTGGCCCAGATCACGGCCAGTTGGCATGGACCCGAGCATCGTGTGGCCGGCCTAAGGGCCTGTGCAGAGTCACTGGTTGCCGGCCTGGCGGCACTGCTGCAGCCGGAGTGCTGCGAACAGACGCTGCTGCTGTGCGCCGCAGCATTGAATAATCTCAGTCGGATGGAGGTCACCTCCCACTACTCCATCATGTCCAATGAGGCTATCTTTAAGCTGATTTCCACGCTCCAGCATCAGACTGGCGGCATCAGCGTTTTTCTCTATGTAAGTGCTACTTTTTGGCTCCGTATATTTTTAAATAAATAAAAAGTCAGGGCTGCAATCTGTGCGTGTGTGTGTGTGTGGGTGACTTGTAAATATTTGAGGAATTATCATAATTATTCCTGATTCCATTTGTGCTTATATATCAAATTTATCTTTGAGTTACATTTCCAACTTTATTTCGGATTCATTTCTGTGTCTAATTCCGATTCAATATCAGACTTTATTTCTAGTTTCATTTCTTATGCCAATCTCCGTTTAATATTTCTCTAATCTTTTATCAGATTAAACAGTCTTAAATACATTTTTGAATATCATCAAAAATACTTTCACTTAAATTTTTGGGTTTCCTTTGCTGCCAGCCCTGGATTTGAGCAATTTTATTGAAAGCATTGCTTGTAGTAAAAGCTCGTAAAATTTATTTGTGCATTTGCAAAGCAATTTTTTCCCAATCTTGTTCACAATTTTTCATTTGCTTTTGGCCAACACACACACACACACACACACACAGACAAACAGACAGACAGACAGACAGACAGAGAGTCTGTGCTTGTAAGCATTTTGTGTTCCTTTTGCTCATCAACATTTTGTGTTGTTTTATCGTTTGAAACAGGAGCAAATCGTTGGGATGCTGCAGAACATGTCGCTGAACAAGAAGTGCCATAGCCACTTGGCCAATGGCATCATCATAAATTTCATCACGTCCGTTTACCAAACGGAATTCTACAGGACCTACGACACACGTGCCGAATGCGATGCCCAGCGGCGCAGTATTAAGTCGATACTCTACACGCTCACCCGCTTGGTGCAGGACTCGCACACGCTCGCCGGCGAGCTGCTCGAGCAGTGGCGTCTGCCGGATCTGCTGCGACAGTCGCTGGCTGCTGGAGCCGCTCAGCCAGCTCGGAGCGCTTCCCAGTTGGATCAGAGCTGCAACGCTGGCCACGGCGGCGACATTTCGCATCTGGCTCGACAATTGCTGCTGGCACATCAGCAGGAGCATCTGCTGCTAACCACTGGCGGAGGCGCAGCAGCATTCAGTAGCAGCCACCAGACGCCCGAGGCTCAAGCTAGTAGAACATCGAGAATGTCGTCGTCGTCGTCGTCGTCGTCGTCCTCACTGCTGCCGGCAACATCGTTGAAATTCAATTTAACACGTCAGGAGAGTTTTGTCTAGTTTTTCGGGGAGAGGGGTGGCGCTCAACATCGCCACCGACCACCCATCACTACCACCTGAGTGGCTAGTCCTGGGCACGTCCCGTTGGACCCGGACGTGCGTCAAGTGTTATTACTTGTCTGGTCACTGCGTGACTCGTTTTGTCCTGCTTACTTCCTGCTATCTGTTTTCCTTTGCTTGTCAAATGTAAACGAAGTAATTTTTATATTTTCGACCAAGCAAAAGACCAACAAAATAGAAAAGAAGAAGAAGAAAACAAGGCAAGAGGAAAATAAATATATTTTGTTTGTTATTTCTCAGTGCTTTCGCATTTCTGTGCTTGCAACAAAAATGCTTGAAAAGTGCATCGTCTCATCTGCTCTCTCTCTCTCTCTCTCTCTCTCTCTGTTCCTCTCTCTCTCTCTGTGTGTGTATTATTACGTATTCATTATGCATTTCAAGTTGATTGTAAATATTTTCATACGGCTGGCAAATACGAAATACCAAAATTTATAATTCTTAGTCGCTTTTGTGCCAAATATAAAGTTGTATATTATGTTCGTACTTAAAGCAATTATATTGTACAGTTATTTATATAATACTCATATGAGTATTGTAGAATATTAAAATGTAAGCCATCATTTAAATAAAGTATTAAAAATATTTTCCAGTTATTTACATTGCGTTCTTGTTTATTTCGCCACTATTTATTTTGTAAGCTTCTTATATTTGCTGGCAGTGTTCTTTGATTTTTGAATAAAATTTACTGAATTCTAAATACTTGAACAGATTATTTTATTTTGATGAAAGCAAAATATTTGAAGTAATAAATTGCATAAAGATCAGAACGAAAGTAACTTCAACAGTGCGGTGGGTTTGTAAAGTAAGAAATACAACAGAAACTGGAAATTGTTTCGACATCAAAGGTTCAAATGTTCGTCTGCTATATACAGAATTTTGAAAGCAACTCTCGGTGCTTGCAGTTCTTTATCTGTATTATGCAAACAAACACATCTGCATATATACATATATAATCAATATTGACTTTGGCAAAAATTCGTTCAGTTTACATTGGAAATGTCGCAAGGATGGATATCAGCGCTTTGGTCAGCAGCACTCAAAGCCATTAGCAAAAGCCAGTCACAGCAGCTAGCCAGAAGGACTCCAGGCTAAGCGATTGCATTGCATTGATTACAATTCGATAAACATACAAATCCACTTCTACCATAAAAATCGCAGCTTACACATGCAACACATAAGAAGAAGAAAAATATATATTTAAAAAAATACGAAAATGTGATAAAACGAAAGCTTCACAAGAAGAAGCTGCTTAAATACAAATATACATACATTTCTTCAAACTAACCAAGTAAATGCTGAAGCTGGGATGTATGCTATATCATCTCTCTCAAACACACACACACACATAATTCCTGCTAGCTAAGATGTCAAAAAGCGCGCTTCGTCTTCTCAGAGGCTTGGAAGGGGCATGGAGGCAAGGCCAGGATGTTGGGGTACGGGGGGCAGGCATAAACAAGTTCTTTAGAGTATGTTGAAGTTATTTAACGTCGGCATATTTTGCATGGCTTCGTCCAGAGCAGCTATACATGTGTGTGTGTGTGTGTGTGTGTGTGTGTGTGTCTATGTATGCCTATGGCTGGGTGGCAGAATCTTTTAGAAATATGCCACACACAACAAACACACACACACACACACATGATAGGTCTCTTCGAGTTGTGTGAGTCTTGCTTGAGTCATTTCGAATGCCAGACTCAGTGAGACAGCTCCAAAGTGTTGCGGCATTTGATGGCTTAGCATGAGTGAGTGTGTGTGTGCTTGTGTGTGTGTGTGTGTGTGTGTGTGAGAGGATATTATGACAAGAATGGCTGACATTTGCTTATATGAGCAGAGCTGAGCAGCGTTTAAAACTGCGACCCATTGACCCCGGCTCAGTCCTGAGAACGTTTATCGTGCATGGGGCTTATCTATTTATCTATGTATAGGTGTACAACAGCAACAACAACAGCAACAACAACAACAACAACAACAGCAACAACAAGAAACAGTTACAATAAACAACCGCAACAGCAAATGCTAGCTGCGTGCTGCTTTCATGGTTTTTACAGCATTTGTTGTGGCGCTGCGACAGGAAATGCCTTTAGTGATTTCCGTCTGTGGTCGATGCCTCCTCCCCCATTAACAGTTAACACACACACACACACACACACACACACACATGTGCCTGACACATATTTTGTGAGTGTGTTTTTGAAATGTGTGTTTTCCGCTTTGCTTCATGCTCATTTTATTTGTTACTTTTAAGTGTCAAAGCTCGAGCCAAATACGCATTAAAAATGCATGGCTAAAACGTAAACAAGCCAACGATTTGCGTGATAGCCCAAAGCGAAACTGAATGCCCGAGGCAAGGCAAAGTGAAAGTATTATTTAAAGAACTAGTCGCTCAGGTGGTCGGTGCAGGTGCAGGTGCAGGGGCAGGGGCAGGTGAAAGTCGAGTGCCAGCCACAACTTAACGATAACTGCGCAGAACAGTTGCCAACTTTTGGATTATCAACAGCTAAAACCGTTAAAAGTTAGAAGTTGAACTAAAGTTGCAGCTCGCTGGTGCAACAATGACAGCAGCAGCAGCAGCAGCAGCAGCAGCACAACAACAAGCGGATATTCTGTGAAAACAATTTGAAATGCCTCGAACTGACTCTACACTCTACAAAGGGGGCATTTAAAAGATTAGAAGTATTACGCACATTGCCCCATTGAATGGATGCAAGTTAGACATTAAATAATTCGCTTTTTAACTTTCTTTTATGCATAGGCAACATCTTCTCATTAATAGAGAATATCACAAGATAAGAAACTTGTCGGGGAGTTTTATTTAAAAAAATTCAGTTTTAATGAAGTCAAATTACTGCTTAATTTCCATCGAATAAACAACTTTGTAGTTCTCCTTAAGTGTTGGAATTTCCCAATTGTTTGCAGATAATACGCAAACGGGAAAGTTAATAAGTGTTTAATGTAAACGTGAATCGATAAAGTTAAGCTAAAAAAACAAAGTAGGAATATATTTTCAAATGTTTATTTACTTGTGCCCACTTTACACTTTTATTTTGTGCAATACAAAAAACAATTATATATTTTTACACAACAAAATTGTATGATAACCAGAGAAAGTAGATACAATTTTAAGCCAAAGGAAATTCATGTAACCCACTTCATAATCTGGTATTAGGCCAGCTTACAAGGTCATAGCTTTTTAATGGCCAAAACTGATGACAAAACCTTTAGGCTTCCAGAAAGGACTATATAATAATAGTGGTACAAGTTTTAAGGGCGCTTAACTTGCAACAACTTGAGAATAGGCACTTGCTGTAGGGCGCTACATGTGCGGTTGGTGGATAGTTGAGGGGTGTCGGGTGTCAGGTGTTGGGTGTAGGGCGTTGGGTGCATGGGTTTGTAGCTGCACTTAAGCGCAACGCTATCGTCTACTGTTTGAGCAGTAAGCAGCGAGGTCTTATCAGCTGGCACAGGAGTAATATTTTATTTTATACTCTGCGCTGAAACAACAATTAGGATAAGCAGCACAGGGGTGTGGTGGTGGTGGTGGTGGGGGGGGGGAAGGGAGATAGGGATATAAAGCTGAAGCTGAGTAAGCACTGACTGCCAAGGAGCTTAAGCTGATGGCGCAGTAAGTCAGACATTGAGCTACATTTGATGCGGGGGCAGTAAACGAGTTGTCATTATTAATGCCAGAGTAGCGACTTTGACACACCCCACACCACAGACCCCACCCCTCATTTGCCCACTCTCGCTTTCTCGCCATCAGCAAGCCAATAAACCCGGAGCATTATTAACTGCCACAAAGTAGCCAAGTGAAAATGATTTCGCAGTGCGTAGCAAGTGGATTGCGTATACGCAGTGTGTGGCCACAAACACAAAAAACAGCACGAGTGTGTGTGAGTGTGTGTGTGTGTGTGAGTGTGTTTGGGTTGGGTATTCCCAGGGGTGTACCACATAATGCCATTGCTATTGCTGGCCTTGGCCGAATGTGAATCCTTTCGGTATTATTATGCGATTATTAGCCAATATTTTATTTGCGCTCGTTCTTCTTGTTCTTCTTCTTGCTTTGGTTCTGTTGATTTCTCTCCTGCTCCTGCTCCTCCTCCTCCTTATCCTCTTCCACGTTGCCACATTTGCTGAAACTCATAAATTTTTATTTGCTGCAGCAAAGGGTTGTAAGCAGACACCATTATGTTTGCTTTTAGCTTTTATTTCGGCCGTGTCGCAGACGTGCACAAGATGCGCCACGGGGCGACTCAAAACCGTCTGCGAGTTTGGTCACCAAGGGGCAAGTGGGGCTTGGCGGGGATGTGGCAAAATTTATGGTCGCAAATTGATTGCAAGTGCATAAAATGTATGCCAGTCGGGGTGCGAGTGCGAGTTCGAGTTGGAGTCGGTGTTGGAGTCGGAGTCGGCGTCATAGCCAGGCCAACATAAGCATAAAATCTGCCAAAAGGCTTTTAACAGCAAACAGCGAATGCTCCCAAAAGGGGTATAGCACATTCACCATGTCAAAATATTATAGTATAATAATCTAGCATTAAATCTTGCCTTAAAGAGTGACTAAAATCAACAGAGTCAAATATTAGCTAAGAAAATGAATTAGCTTAGAATTTGTATTTATTGATCTGGGGGCATGTCAATGGAGAACAGCTAAAAATATATTAATATATCTTTAAACTAATTGCATATTTATTTATTTGGACTTTTTCCTAATCCAAATGAGTATAAAGTTTAATTGATATCGATTAAAAAAGACTAATACTCCAGATCTAAATTCCAATTTAAATTATCAGACAAATTGTGTCGTAGAAAAGTATTCTAATTTGAACACAGCTGTTAATTTGTCAATTTATCGCTACTTTAAATAACTGTTAAATCTTATTCACTTATGTAAACACTACGTTCTAATTTTGGTAAATTATTTATGTCGGTCATAAATAAACTTGTTAATTTAAATAGTTTAAACATCGTCCAGATCTGAAGTTTCATTTTTGCATAAAAAAACGCTTTGTGAACATTTATTATTCGCCGATATATTTTGATTCCCATTATTATAACTTGGGGTTTATATTTATTCAGAGCTTAGTATTTAATACAGAATATATGTCCGCTTCATGCGACTTATACTACGCGATTCAAGCGACCAAAAGCGACTGACTCTTACTTCATGAAAATAGCTTAAACATAGCATCGAAGAAGGTCTTGATCATAAGGAACTTACAATTACCGTTGCTCGCAGGCAACAACAGATTAAGACTACAAAACGGGAATGCAAGACATACTGCGGTGTACATAGGCAAATACAGTTATTTCCAACACCCATAAACAATAAAAAGTAACAGTTTAATCAAAATACAATAAATAAGAATAACAATCGTTATTTATGACTTAAAAATATAAGAAGTGCATGAGCCAAGGGTATTCTGATAGTCGGCTTTTTCATGCCTAGAACAAGCTGTCTTAATATGAATGGAGAAATACACAAGCTGGTGTAAAACCCAGTAACTTTATTGAGAGATACCCCTTGAAAAGTTTGAAAATATTAGTAAACATTTGATAAAGTATAATTATCAATGATTATTAAAATAGTATA